TAAATTTTGTGACAAGCAATACGGTGCCTACTCCACAATCGGCAGTCAGTACCGGCAATTGTTTACAGCTATTTCCTTCACAGTCGTGTTTAAAACAGGTACGTCTTCTTATACGTATTGCAGTCATTGCAGGATATGACACATTTAATAGTCAATTATTTGTTATTGTGTGATCATAAATTGTGTCGTTTTCACACTCGACTTCGTCTGGGCCATGTTAAAACCAACATTCATGATCTCATCTCCAGTATATAATCAAAGTACTGAAAGAGGCTATTTGTCTTAATTTTGAGCGATTTTATATCTTCTTTAATTCTTATTTCAAATTTGACGACAATAATGTGAACAAATCAAAATAGGTAGAAAAAAATAACAAAAGTTGTCCAATTTGTTATTTTTATTAATTTCTTGTGTATTAGCCTGGCATTCGTCATGTCATTTTTAGAATGGTAAAGGTATTTATTTATTAAAGTAGATCGATAAATCAAGAGACATCTAAAAGAGGCATCGACATCGTGACGGGAGACTTATCCGTACTTTTCGTGCAAGGTAGGAGACAATACCATGTGATATGATGTGATATGGCTGTGACGTCATTAACTGTATCCGTGAATGTCGCCTACTGTCCTGTCGTCTTTATCGAAGTACTGAAATTACCGGCAAACTCACTTGAAGCGAAGATTCTTTTTTCAGAATACGTCACAAATGCATGAATGTATTTTCATTATCGTACTTTCCACTGCACACATTTTGATGACAAATTCTAGCATATTGCGAAGATAAATTTCTCCGATGACGATGTCGAACATCTCCCTCGACTGGAATGATGACCGCCATATTTGTGCTAGCGTCAGAATTCAGGGATTAGATCATGAATGTTATCCATTAAAAAGATGCGTTACCTAACATTTATTTTAGAATAGTGAATTAAAATACAGGTCTAATACATAATTTTCGTAAAATTCACATCTATTTTTCAAGAATAAACTAATACAAATTATGTTTAATCGTTTCAGGAAACTTCACAATTTACTGGGAAATAAACTTGAATTGATATGTAATTAAACCAAGATTTTAAATGCACGTATCGACTCCTCATTTCAATGCTATGAAATTTCAGGTAAACCTATAAATATGGAGTTTAATGTGAACGAAACAGCAAATAATCATTACCTATTATGAGAGTATACTTTTGCATTATTCTTCACTTTAAAATGCAATTTGATAAGTTAATTGTAAACATTAAGTACAACTGAATACAAATAAATAAGATTTTGAGTAAACTCTTCTTTTATGCACTGGTTTGTTTTGTAGATTCTTCTAAATCCCACGTGATATGCCAGTATCTTTAACATAAATTGTTTACGAACAGATTGCAGTGTGAATATATATTCACAGAAGGGTCCGTTAGTATGTTGTACCTCACTAATTTAAACGTATCAAATACCACAAGTTTACCTATCAACACATTAAGATAATTAAATGTCTAGCAATATATAATTAATGATTTTCATAATAATAATGATTTTAGTGTCATACCTATTACAAGTTTGTACATATTATATCGTTTAACAGTGTTACCACCAATAAATCACACGACTGACATCTGTAAATATCATGAAATTAACATATATTTTTAGTCGGCTGCTACAGGTTCGAACAAGTTAACAACATCATTGATAATTGTATGCAATGTTCAGCTATATTCATGATATGTAATATTTCCATGTAGATACTCGAAATAAATAGTGTAAATTAATTTTGTTACGTGGTACAACTATTACAGGGTAACCGATGCTATTTACTGTGTAGTTTTCGCGTCACTTTCGTATATGTTATCGGAACTATATTCAAATGTAATGATGTTGGACTCTCTCTCTCTCTCTCTCTCTCTCTCTCTCTCTCTCTCTCTCTCTCTCTCTCTCTCTCTCTCTCTCTCTGTGTGTGTGAGGCTGTGTATGTGTGTGTGTGTGTGTGTGTCTCTCTCTCTGTATATATATGTGTGAGTGTGTGTGTGTGTCTCTCTCTCTCTCTCTCTCTCTCTCTCTCTCTCTGTGAGAGAGTGTGTGAGAGAGAGAGATATATATATATATATATGTGTGTGTGTGTGTGTGTGTGTGTGTGTGTGTGTGTGTGTGTGTGTGAGAGAGAGAGAGAGAGAGAGAGAGAGAGAGAGAGAGAGAGAGAGAGAGAGAGAGAGTGAGGGAGAGACAGAGAGGGGGAAGGCAGAGAGAGAGTGGAGAGAGAGACCACTACATTGTACCTCTGTGTAATATCATTTCTACTCTTGGAAAAAATAACAACCTTGGTCCGCAATAACTCTGTCCACGTCACTCATTGGTGACGAATTAGTCAGAGGTCAATGGAAAACCAAAATGCTTGTCCTCTCTGACCGATTAAATATGCGTTTTGAACATAAAAATGTGTTTTCAATTTACTGCATTAAAATGTGCTGATTTCCTGTTCAGTGGCATATGAATCGAAGGTAAAATAAGTATTTTTTTCAAAAAATAATTCCTTTGCACACTGCAGTTTTTCAAAGATAAGTTAATATCCCGCATCTTTTCGGCACAAATTTGTTTTAGTGTTTGGATTGATATTTCACAGTCGCAATTAACCAAAAAAGGCATTCCATTTCAAAGGATGACATGAAACACAGATTGATTAAACAGATGTGATATATAATGAAGAAATCCCAGCGCCATATACATCACATGAACAGTATTGCCCACTTGGCCTGTGTAGGGTTGGAAACAGGAATTTGGGAATATTCTGGAAATGATTTTCCGAAACATTTTGTTTGTGATACAAGATGTTTAATAATTTCACATCTATCTCAATTTATCCATGGGGTGTTGCACACATGTGCCGTGTACCTGTGTACTTTGGATTATCTGATAATGGTACGCGATTACAATTGTATCGTGATACGGGTACATACGGGTATATACGTGTCAAATTCCGTAAACCCATGCAACAAATGAAATTTATAATCATAAGGTTACACAGGTAACTATGTGATATGGGAGCTTATCAAGCTAGCCCCATCCAATGACAAGAATAGCTCAATACTAAAGCTCTAAAGGGAGAGAGGCGGAAAAGGGCTCAAGTGAACATCTGATGAAATGCATGTCTCCTCTCCTTCAGAATCACTGCACGCTGCACCAGGACATGATCTGTATCATCAATAATATGACAATTAGATGTAGTGTTCGATATGGGAGGCTTTACATATTTGTTGTAAATAGCTGATATCCGTTACGTTTTCAAATTGTTTTTAATTATCACACGGTGAACATTAGGGATGTTACAATTCCCTGCTGACATAGCAAAGTCTCTAGGCAGGGATTGCATGTAGAAACCGAATGTGTGATTCCTGAACCACCCGTACCCACTGACGGCCTATCAACAGGTGAGTAGGCTCTACCAGGACACCGTCACTATTTAACACAATTTTGCAATTTTACTTGTAACTATGAACTCTTTTTATCCTACATATACTTGGTAAATGACAAATTAGACCATGTGTCCCTGTGCGAGATGTTATTTACAGGTTAACGTGGCAGAATACAGCTGTGTCAAAGATTCAAATTTCACCGTGTCGTTTTTATTTGAATTGTTGTAATATATACAGGTTTTATCTAAATAGGTTAGGTAGAAAAGCATACAGGGGTTCAAAATCAAGTTTTTTAAATAGTGTGAGGTACAGGGGGTGGGAAATGTTAAAATACAACATCGGCCCTTTTTATGTAAATCTAAGCTTTCGCGGACTACAAATACATACTTAAACAGTTTTTTAATTGAAGAATAGAGAATTTTGTAAATGTTACACCTGTTATGTTAGCACTGAACACAAGATGTAGAATACATTTTTAATCTATATGAAACGTTACCCACATCGATTACCAAACACTCACAAACATTAATCATATGACACTGCTAAGCTCGGAAAATTATATACAAAAATGTTTATCATACACAAGGTGTATATCTTTACAAAATGTATCTAAAAATTCAACATCTGCTTTAAAACTTTACTGAACCTCAATACAAAATCAAGACTGGCTCTTCAATCTGTCTGTAATACCATAATAAACCGATTGCATTTACAGTCTAGTTTGCGACTCTATTGAAACATCGTAAGGAATTGTACAAAAGCGATATATAACAGCGACATGGTATAAATCTATTGTGAAATAAATCATAAAATAAGTTGACAATCGCAAAATATATGTGTAATATTCCGTTATTATTGTTCTCTATGTGTGAGTAGAGACGTTTATAGCAAAAATAAATAGATGAATTGTAACAGAAGTCGTTACTAGTTTTAATGCCACCGCCAGGAATCGAACTCGGGACCTCTAGTTTTCTAGCCTCTGGCCGAGCGGTATGTTGTAGAGAGTGTTTTTCCAACAGTTAAATAAGTAAATAGATAGATAAATAAATATCCGTCTTTAATTGTGCGTCAAATATATTTTGCATTGATGCAGGTAAGATGTGTGTACACCTTAAAAACATCTCTGCATGACTTAATTGCCAGTGTCACAACCTTATCAGGTTCCGGACGTTGTATTCCGGATAAGTCTAATAGAATCCTAATTTACAGTTGTTAACCGCTATTGATCTGTAAATATTGACAGCTGCCATACTTACCTGAGATGATTTGCCTGTGGGACTTTGGCACTTCCAGTCCTGTATACTATGTTACTTAATTACGTGTATACATGGACATTGTAGATATATGTAAAATATGTCTATGTAATTTGTTAGTAACCCACGAGTTCTAGTGTTTGGTAAGTGTAATACTACTTTTAAAAAATCAGTTTATAATAAAATATATTACATGTATATATAGATTAGTCAGGTAGATTAAGAATTGTCACGTGGAAATATAATCCATATTTTATTGACAATAAAAAAATTGTAATTATCAACTAGGAGACTATGAATCTTGTCTATACAATGTGTGTGTTCTCTTTCTGTTATACTCAACAGACGCCATGGAACAAGAGGTGAAAGAAGAGGAGGAAGCAGAGGACCCACACAGGCAAACAGACCGAGGATGGGCATGGATGGTATTGATAGGTAAATTCTGAACACGGATTCAGGTTTCCAGGTTTTGCCTTCAAAAAAAATATTGCTCTTTAGGCGCCATCTTAAATGTAGTTTTTTTTTATATATATCATACTGGGATAAAGTAATGAACATGTAATATTTTGTATCTTTCGCACAGGAGGACAAACTACATCCATTTTATTTTACAATACATCTTTTAGTAGGTTTTTTTCTAATATTTTACATAAGTTATTTTAGCAGAAAATTTCACAACATCCCATTTTCACAGAAGTATTCACCATGTAGATAACTTCGTTAAGAATACATAATTCCGTTTAATTTCACACATTCTCTTAATATAATGTTATTTGTTGTTGCATATTTCAAATTCTCTAAATGATTTTATAATTCTGACTTTCACATTATCGAGAATTAAAAAAAAGATACACATGTACAAGTGAATAGTCCTTTTTAATACAGGTTTAGAATGGTATGTTATATTAGAACTTTAAAAACTGCATCGTACACAACTATATTCTTCAGGAAACATCTCTTCCGTTCAAATGTTATGTTACAGTCTTCCATGAGTTACCAGGTATATCCTATTCCACTATTAATAAGATATTCTACCCATTTCTATATTCTATGTACGAAATTCATAATGCATGTAAATGCATATTGAAAATCGTTGTAAATAGTAGCTAGGTCAATTTGACGCAATTTTTTCCACAGTGTTTTGTCCAGATGAAAAGGCGAATAACTTTGTGAATAATTGTAAACTTGAAAATTTCCCGTAGAATCGAAAATCAGACTGATTAACAAACATGACAGGTGATAAGTGTCACTTAGTTATTAATGTCAATTTTACCTGCGGTCAGTCTCTAACTGACCGGATTGACCAGTATGCTAGTCAGATTGATCTTAAACTTGGTCTAGATCACATTGTGTAAGCTACACCGTTTGTACAGGTGATTTATATAAAAACATCACTCCTTGGAATATTAGGACTATAGGATAATTTTATGAATATTAAGAAATGAAGGAGTGGGGGATAATTTAGCACTTAATTTAAATGTACTATATAAAAACACAGAATAAAAATGACTTGTTACTAAAATCGAAATACGCAAGAAACGAAATAAAAAATACAAGTAATTGAAAAACAATTTCACGATTTTTCATAAAACCTTTTCATGTTTTAATATTTAAAGAAATAAGAACCCTTTCAAATATCATTTTATTACAAACCCTTCCGAAAATTCACACAAATACAGGAAAATTGTAGTCTGTTTCAGACATCTATGATAGTAAGGTTGAATTATCTCCCTTCACGCCGATGAACTAAAGGAATCACTCACAATGCTCATAAACATATAGTTGTTACTGAAAATCTACAACGCTGTCCAAATATAAAATATTTTTGTCTGGAAATTGAAAACGGACATTTTGATACCTGTATATATTCAAATCCTTTTCAGGGTCCAAAATTATATTGTAAACAGTAATTACATGGGTTCTATACGGTGGCAGATTCGCACCGTTATGTCATCATCATCATCATCATCATCATCATCTGCTATAAACATTTCCCCACATTACATGTTATGCATCTATCATATTACAATTATGGGGAAAGATTGAATCCAAATATGCTAAGGGATGTTTAATACCGTTGAATGTAATATTGAAAACTAAGCTTGAATATGAATTGATAACACTTCACAATACACACTTCCCTTACTCACTCTAAATATCACGAATTTCGATTCTAGGTTCTAAACAATCTTAAATTTCTGTCTCATATTTACAGTGTCCTATATTACAAAGGTTTATGGTGTAGGATTTCTATACGACATGTTGGAATATTATATCGTATATAAGATGGTCGATGAACACAACAGCCTCGGTTCTGTCATTTGCCTTATCGATACAGACTCTGTCTTTCAGTTTGTTATGTAAGTAAAGTCTGTCCGGTTAAGTAAAGGGCTCACATAACTTAACCAACCTCTGTATAGTATCAATTAGCATTTAAGCTAATAACATTAATATGCATAGCTCAACACATGTGATAACTGTCTAGATTAATACAGACATACCTGTAAAATGCTACAAATGGCATCACTAAGTAAGTTAGTGGCATCATGGACTGTCATCGCCTACAGAAGTCAACAGCCAAAAATCTACAAGTAAAATTAACTACCCACTTAGGAGAAAACACCTTTAACATCTGTCTAAATTCGCACACATTAAAATGTTTTAAAACCATGCATTTTCCTGAAGTCAGGTTTTTTCGATCTGTCACCAATCATAAATTAAACATCCTGATAGCACAATATTTTACGAAATCTAGAATTATAAAGAAAATAAAATTATATGATATAGTTAATCAGCAGCTCATTGGCTAACTTAGTTAAGTAAGTCCTAAAATATGTCCGCTCTCTTTTTAGTCCGAGATTGTGATGCATAAGATCGTTATTCTAACATATTGAATTTGTAAGTGTTGGCCAAGACCGTTTGTACTATGTAAACGTGATGACACAAAATGTGTGTGAGATAAAACTGGATTGGTTACACAATGTGTGTGACACATAGGTCGATAGGTCATCCAACCCTGGTGATAAAATCGTGTGTTTACAAACCTAGATAGGTCATAAGGCACATGATGTCACATTCTACTAGGGTATAATTACCAAAAGGTACATTACATCCTGTTCGCAAAGGTTTATTAAAGTAAACACGGTTATCGTGAGTGCGCGGTTAGTCCCAACTCACTGTCCATATATGATTATAGTGACTTAGTTTGTAACTCCGAAAAGGGAGAACGGACAATATTTTTTAAATTGTGATTTTGATAGCCTATGGGTCGCCGACTTGGTAAAACATACGTTACCTTTCATCTAAAATGTGTTTTTTTTCTTTCCAATGAATGCTTGTGAGAGTGGTGAAGTATTAACAAATGTATGTAGATATGGCTTGTCTACATTTCCGCGGCAGGTTGATGACGCTCTCGTCTCCAGTAGCTACCTCATTAACTTCATTGGTTAAGTCTACGCTTGTAGCGATGATATTCACTACCAATGACAGTGTCAACAGAGAATTCAATTGTTGGTAGTTTATTTCGTTCTCGGATTTTCCAAATTAGCATCATGCTGTGCATTTTTTTTTCAACAAAAACCGCCATCAATTCTTTTTGTCGCCACAATAATATGTCTGGTTTGTAGCATTGACGAATCCTGATTGTGAGTGAGATATAGTAATGTGTCTGTTTTGTAGTAATAGTGATCCTGACTGTGAGTGAGATATAGTTATGTGTCTTTTGTAGTCTTGGTGATCCTGACTGTAAGCGAGATATAGTTATGTGTCTTTTGTAGCCTTGGTGATTCTGACTGTTTGTGATATCTTGGACGCTAACCGACAGTTTGTGATGATCGGCGGCGTACTGGCCTGTGCGAGCTATTTCATTAGCAGCTTTGTGGAAACAGCAGAAATCCTCATTCTGACCATTGGTGTCGTATTTGGTAAAGAATAATGAATATTCATGAAAATTACAGATTTAAATGCATTTCGTTTAGATAATGCTGGAATTCTCAAATAACACGATAAAAGGATATTACTGATTTATTTAAAAAATATCAGACTCGGATATATTGATACTGATGTCAAATTGAATATTAATAATTTGTCAGTGTCCAGGTGAACATTTGTTATAGACAGATGATTGATGAATACTTTAATGTTGGTTAATTCTAAGGGAACATATTTTTCAAATTTCTTATGATTTGATAAAGTTCCGAAAAATGAATATATTTTCGTTAATAAAACGTCGAAAATATGAACAACGTGACATTTCAACCTTTATAGGATATAGATGAAAAAATAATTATACCTTTATTAGGTAAAATCAAGATTTTAAATTAGAACCTCATTGATTCCTGACCAAATATGTTTAGGATCACGAACACATACCTTGTGTGATCCAAATAATCAGGCAATTTCGTAGATATTTCAACTGCATGTATGTTCTAAAACCATATACCGCATTGCTCCATTGCCTGTTCGATGCAGATATGGCTGACGCATCTCTTTGATCTTTTACTACAGGAACCGCGGCATCATTTGCTCACGGACCGGCCACAGTGATGTTAGGGAAGTACTTCGACAAAAGACGGGGAATGGCTAACGCGGTTATGAACTTCGGCGGAAGTTTCGGCGGCCTCGTCTTGCCTAACCTGTTTCGATATCTGTTAGATGTGTATGCATTACAAGGAACTCTGTGGATCGTATCTGGCTTGCTGCTCCATATCATGGTCACTGGGGCACTTTTGCGTCCGCTTAAACGTCCCCGAAAGAACAATAAGTTACTTAAGTTAACCGATAAGAACAGCGATATGACAAAGACGGAATTCAATGAGGTTATCTATAGACCAGCTCAAAATAGCATGGCCTCCATTGGCCATTCGTACGACAGAATGGTCATAAAACACTCAAATGGACAGGTCCAGACATGGAATGCCCGGAAGAATCAAATATTACAAACAGGGAGACGACGCACGGTATCGGATTCCGGAGTTAATGGTAATGAGCGCGATCTCAAATTCCATTTCCACAAAAGCGCCGAGTTGGCACAGGGACTCGGAGATGCTCTAGGCTCCCTCGGTAATATTCATTTATCTGTATCAACAGAGGAGGAAGCTGACTTTGAAGACGAGGCGGATTCCTGTGCTGCAAGATGTCATAAACTAACATGCAAGAATGTCATTGGAAACATTTTAGATGTACAACTTTTAAAGAACAAACTGTTTTTGATGAATTTGATGTCTTCGATGTGTTCTGTATTTGGACTTGCTTTGATAGTGACATATTTACCCCACCACGCTCGCGACGTCGGTATGAGTGACCAACAGAACACTAATTTACTTACAATTATTGGCTGCACAGATTTATTAAACAAGTTTATACTGGTCTTCATTGCTGACAATGAGAAGATAAAACGTCATTTCCTGGTGGCAGGCTCCTTAATTATAACGGCAGTTGCAACACTGTTGATACCACATTGCACGGAATTCTGGTCTCTGGCTGTGTATTCGGTGATATACGGAACATTTCACGGGACATTTTTCGCAATGCTCGCAGTTTTAGTCGTAGACTTTGTAGGAATAGAAAATATATCGAAAGGGTTAGCAATAACAATGCTTTCTCATGGAATATCAATTTTTGTCTTCAATCCTATCACAGGTAAGTTTATAAAAATTAGTTAGTGTTTGCTATATATTAGAAAGTTGTGTGTAGACATTAGTAAGTATATATATATATATATATATATATATATATAGGTTGACATTACATACTTGGATTGACCACAATTTGCTTGGTGGGTGTTTTCGTTGAAGCAGAAGACGCTTACTCTTCCAGAACACCTTGGCCTTATTCTCCTTGTACTTTTTCCGGAGTCTCCGCGTAAATCTTTTTGCGGTGCCCCAAATTTTATTGACTTTGACCTTGGATTATGTTTGAGTTAACAGGTTCATTTTTTTATATCTGATTACTACTATACGTTTTACATTCAGATTATCTTATGCGATCGATATAAATAACGTAGTTATTTTATTCCGCCCACATTTAGAATATGCTTCAAGTGTGTGGAGTCCGTATAAAAGGAAAGATGTCGAATCAATCGAAAGGGTCCAGAGGCGAGCCACTAAACTGGTCCCAAGCCTAAAGAATTTACCACATTGTGTCAGACTTAAACAAACTTAACGTTAATTTATCGAAGGTTAAGAGGAGACATGATAAATGTCTTTAAAATAATCAACAGCTTCTAAGATGGAGAAATTACAGAGGGATTACTTCAAATTGAAAATCCAGAGCAAGAGGCAATTGAAAAAAAAAGTTAAAAAAGGCAATTTTGCAAGATGGATGTTCGAAAATACTCTTTTACATTTAGAATCGTCGATATTTGAAATGATCTGCCTGAGTCGGTTATTAAATCCAAAACAGTTGTAGATTTTGAAATTAATTTAGATAATTATTGGAAAAATCGGGAGATTAAATTTAATTATTTAGCCAGTTATAAAATTAGTCACCGGAGGCATAACCTATTATACTGTGTAATTTATACTGTATACCAGTAATGATATGGATAAAGAGGCAATTTAATAAAATCCATAAAAAGTCCATAAAGTATCCTATTGTATCTATTGCAGTTTTTCCAAATAGGTTAAACCACTCGTAGCAAATATTTATAAACATATTCACATATGGCCTCGAGTAAGCCACACAATGGAAGAAGGTCACATATTATATATGCGCACGTGTCAAAGAAATGGTTTGTTGTTCACAGGGGACCAAGATGTAAGGGTATTAAGGTGAATGTTTAAACATATTGTTTGCTATGCTATGTAAGTGTCTATTTACTTCTGTCTCGTGTAACACTGAATGAGTGATCACGATGATTCACATTGTACAAAGTTCAAAATTAAAGTCTAACACTTAGGCCTCTCCGGAGAAGTGGTTAGAGGAATGTACTTAAAAAAATTGGGAGCTACTTCCAGTTTGTAATAAAAAGTTTATCATATTATAACTGTTATAGCGGTTTTTAGATATATGTCAGTATTACATATACAGGTATAGACTTGACCTACATACATTCTAGTCATACTTGTCCTATAAATAAACGGTATTACAAGTGAAAATGTTTTACTGTTGTTTACGGTCGTGTACATTAACATGAGGCAGTGTGGTACGATTCAGTGTAAGACAAAGACTTTGATTCCCTTTGTATCTTTAAAATGCCTTTAGCACTGGTGAGAGATAGTGTTCCTTGTTCTAGCAGTTCTTGGCCCTCCCTCTAACGCCAGAATCTGTGGTCTGTTTTTATCACCAACGCCAAAATGATTTAACCACTTAGCCAAAGTATCATAAGACATGGATTCATGCTGATCTTGTTTTTTTCTCAAATTTGTGCTACTATCTTTATCCATAAATCAAAACAGTGCTAAAGGCATTATATAGAAATGGATACAAAGATACTAAACTTAATTGAGGAATCCTCTTTGTCAGTGGTCAGTCTACAATCCTACTTAATACATAGTTAATGCGTATATATACATATATACATTTACATACAGTTTTATGTATATAATGCGTAATTAAATGTGAAAAAAAACTTCTCGGTCAGTTTATAATCCTACTTGACCTAAAATTGATCATATCAGTATAACTCCTACAACCTAAAATACAAATAAAACCAGACAATGCATGAGTCACTTAGATTAATTAAATTAATTCCTAAATCTAGAGAAATCATTAATGTTAGGAATTTTTTTCTAGTATAACCTATCTGTTATCATTGCTACGAAACACCATTTCCCCATAAGCTATCTAGCTACAGTAGTTTTATCCATTTTGTGTCTGTGCTGTATTGTATACTATCTCTAATGAAAGGTTCTGTTCACTTGCGTATCTTTTGTACAACCTTACAGATTATGAAATCATTTATTTAGTTTGGATGAGTATGCTATATATGAGTATCTTTATATACGTATAACTACGGATTTCACCAGTGATAAGTAATACTGGAGATAGCGGATGGACAATTAATACTCACAGAACACTAACTCCAAGTATGTATGTTCACGGTATTTACAGGTGATGACAGAAACAAACTCCACTTATGTATATAAGTGTGCTATCCAAGACAAGCTTTACTTATTCATTTTTTATACTGTTTTTACTTGTGCTATAAAATGAAGTAATGCATATTACACTATTTATAGAAGTCCATTTACTTATATGCTTATTCTATACTGTTTGACCAGACACAAAAACGCACTTTAAAAATAGAAAAAAGGAGAAAACCTCATTCACAGCAGTAATACCCATCTTACTCTGTATACAGGTGCCATTTCATCTGACACAAACATAGGTGCGTTTTTGTGCAACTTGTAAACATGTTACCAGAGCCAAATAATAATTATGTATCTCATATATGTGCTATTCTAGACAACCTCCATTTGCATTTTTTATACAGGGGCTATAAGAGATAACTTCCATTCGTACACACCGGCGTTCTATATGATGGGAGGCTTTATGCTGTTGGGTGGATGTCTGCTGTTCCTGGAGCCACAAATACGACGCTATGACAAAAGACAAAAGAATGATATGCAGACGGCGTTATAACATACAGCATAATTAAAATGTCACTATTTACTACATCTTTACCAGAGAGAAATTTTGAAATGATCATTTTATTTATGAATATTGCAGTGAGTGCAGCAGTACGATAACGTCATTTTAGATTTTTTTAATGTTTTCTAATGATTTGTCAGAATAATACCTTTATTTGGCTGTTTTTATCAGTCGATGTCGATAATCATACAATGACAAAATAGATTCAGTTATATACGGTAAAATGCATTGTTTACCTATACAAAGTCTAGGGAATTAAGCATTTAAAAACAACTTTGGTAACTATTTTCTTATTATTGTTTTTACATGATGTACACTTGTATATTGAACAGTATCTAGTCTGTTTTAAATACTTGTTACATGCACATTATGGTCTTTTTACAACTGTTTTATAAGGATAATATTGACGTTCATTCAAATTTTGTTTTTTTCCTTTGGTAAAACAATGTGTTCTAATAATTTGATTTCAATAATAAATCATATTTTAAATTGATGATATACGAAGTTATATTTGATAGAGTGATGATGTGATGATGTAATACTGTCGGTAGGTTTACAAAGTTTCTCAACACTTTTGCTCAGATGTGTGAGCTCCTGTGCCCACTAGTGTCTGTTACGAATTTCTGACTATGAATAACACTCTGTTTCTTCAAAGGTCACGTGTAAGGCCAGATAAAATGGAACATGAATAGAGTAATATGACTGCATTTTATCAATCTCATTTCAAAGACAGCGCTTTGCCCTAGAAACAAAAATCAAGTAATTTCACAAAGTAACATAACAATATCCAACATAATTACGTTACTTTTAACTGAATACAGTGATAGGTGAGAGACTGCCAGTCAATATGTTTTATTATCTGACAATAACCCGTAACCTGAATCTATACCAACATGCCTTAGGTAACGAATCTCGTTCAATACATAGTTTTGTATACTTTACATCGGAATGATAATGTATATGAAAATCCGACAAATGTTTAGGAACGGAAACTCAGGAGCGAAATGTGAACACATCCGGTCCAAACACAAATGTGACTCTTCACATATCATCAAATACCAACGTGACTTTTCACATATCATCAAATACCAATGTGACTTTTCACATATCATCAAACACCAGTGAGACCTTTTCACATATCATCAAATACCAACGTGACTCTTCACATATTATCAAATACCAAAGTAACTTTTCACATAATATCAAATACAAATGTGACTTTTCACATATCATCAAATACCAATGTGACTCTTCACATATCATCAAATACCAACGTGACTTTTCACATATCATCAAATACCAACGTGACTTTTCACATATCATCAAATACCAATGTGACTCTTCACATATCATCAAATACCAACGTGACTTTTCACATATCATCAAATACCAACGTGACTTTTCACATATCATCAAACATCAGTGTGACCTTTTCATATATCATCAAATACCAACGTGACTCTTCACATATCATCAAATACCAACGTGACTTTTCACATATCAAATACCAGCGTGACCTTTTCACATATCATCAAACACCAGTGTGACCTTTTCACATATCATCAAATACCAACGTGACTTTTCACATATCATCAAACACCAGTGTGACCTTTTCACATATCATCAAATACCAACGTGACTTTTCACATATCATCAAATACCAATGTCACTCTTCACATATCATCAAATACCAACGTGACTTTTCACATATCATCAAATACCAACGTAACTTTTCACATAATATCAAATACAAATGTGACTTTTTACATATCATCAAATACCAACTTGACTTTTCACATATCATCAAATACCAATGTGACTCTTCACATATCATCAAATACCAACGTGACTTTTCACATATCATCAAATACCAACGTGACTTTTCACATATCATCAAACACCAGTGTGACCTTTTCACATATCATCAAATACCAACGTTACTTTTCACATATCATCAAATACCAATGTGACTCTTCACATATCATCAAATACCAACGTGACTTTTCACATATCATCAAACACCAGTGTGACCTTTTCACATATCATCAAATACCAACGTGACTCTTCACATATTATCAAATATCAACGTGACTTTTCACATATCATCAAACATCAGTGTGACCTTTTCATATATCATCAAATACCAACGTGACTTTTCACATATCATCAAATACCAACGTGACTTTTCACATATCATCAAATACCAACGTGACTTTTCACATATCATCAAATACCAACGTGACTTTTCACATATCATCAAACACCAGTGTGACCTTTTCACATATCATCAAATACCAACGTGACTCTTCACATATTATCAAATATCAACGTGACTTTTCACATATCATCAAACATCAGTGTGACCTTTTCATATATCATCAAATACCAACGTGACTTTTCACATATCATCAAATACCAACGTGACTTTTCACATATCATCAAATACCAACGTGACTTTTCACATATCATCAAACATCAGTGTGACCTTTTCATATATCATCAAATACCAACGTGACTTTTCACATATCATCAAATACCAATGTCACTCTTCACATATCATCAAATACCAACGTGACTTTTCACATATCATCAAATACCAACGTGATTTTTCACATATCAAATACCAATGTCACTCTTCACATATCATCAAATACCAACGTAAGTTTTCACATATCATCAAATACCAGCGTGACCTTTTCACATATCAAATACCAATGTCACTCTTCACATATCATCAAATACCAACGTAAGTTTTCACATATCAAATACCAATGTGACTCTTCACACATCAAATACCAATGTGACATTTCACATATCATCAAATACCAACGTGACTTTTCTCATATCATCACATACCAACGTGATTTTTCACATATCAAATACCAATGTGACTTTTCACATATCATCAAATACCAACGTGACTCTTCACATATCATCAAATACAAATGTGACTTTTCACATATCATCAAATACCAACGTGACTCTTCACATATCATCAAATACAAATGTGACTTTTCACATATCTTCAAATACAAATGCAAATAATTTCAACGCCATTATGAATATAATTCCGTGAATACGGAGCAAATATTTTAATAGATCAAATCAGAAAAGTAATTAACAACGGGAAATGTCTGCTACAGCCACGTAATCTCTTCAAAAATAAAAACGGGTATATTTATGCTCCAATGCACATTACACATAATCAATCAAGCGGGACTGAACATTTATACGATATCTATTACTGCAATCTGTAGCTTCAATTTACATTTTAAAAACGCTAGATTTGAAAGCGTGTGGTGTATATTATATAAGTCAGTTGATTTGTAATCTGGTGTTTACTATATCACAAGTACAGTAAAGCTGAAGTGTCACTAGAGAACGTGTACGTGTGTTTGCATTGTCCCTCTAATCAAGGATAAAGCGTGCTAGAAAAAAGACATTAATCAAGATCCCTGATCCACATCCGGACAGGTAAGGGAGTGTATGAAGGTTCAGATAATGTAGACTAGCTATAGGAAAGTGCTGAAATAAGCAATGTTGGCTAGACATCGGATATTGCAATAATGAGTAAGGTTAGCTAGCCATCGGATGGTGCTTTAATTAGTGATGTAGACTAACCATGGGATGATACTGCAATGAGAAATGTTGGCTAGACATCAGATAATGCTGTAATGAGTAGTTATGTTTGCTAGACATCGGTTGGTGCTGTAATTAGTGATGTATACTAGCCATGGGGTGATGCTGTAATGAGAAATGTTGACTAGACATTGGATAATGCTGTAATGAATGATGTTGGCTAGACATCGGATGGTGCTGTAATTAGTGATGTAGACTAGCCATGGGGTGATGCTGCAATGAGAAATGTTGGCTAGACATCGGATAATGCTGTAATGAATAATGTTGGCTAGACATCGGATGGTGCTGTAATTAGTGATGTAGACTAGCCATGGGGTGATGCTGCAATGAGAAATGTTGGCTAGACATCGGGTAATGCTGTAATGAGTAAGGTTGGCTAGCCATCGGATGGTGCTGTAATTAGTGATGTAGACTAGCCATGGTGTGATGCTGTAATGAGTAAAATAGATTAGCTGTAATGCGTAACGTTGGCAAGTTATCTAATGGTACTGTAATGAGTAATTTTAAGGCAGCTATCTAATAGTACTGTAATTCGTGATGTATGCTAGTTATCTGATGGTGTTGTAATGAGTTACGTTGGACAGCCATCGGATGTTGCTGTAATGACAGGAATATAAACATATTGTTTTAAGCAGTGAATCGAGACACCGCCTGTGCTTCCTATGACCATGTATGTTACACATAAATTACATACATTGTGTATTGATCGCCGTTGACTAGTAACGAAGCTGAAGGATTCCCGATCTTATTCAGTCAATTTCATCAACCAGCAAATAAGCATATACGTTTTATAACAAATGTTTAGAAATAAGTATATCTATTAAAGTGAATCATTGACAGCAAAGTAAGTATCATTATTATGAAAAGTTTAATTATTCTTAAGAGACCATAAAGTGTTTCGATGATAAGAAAGACCTGTTGGGGTCATATGTCATGTAGATAGCACGTGACCCTCCACGTTGCTAAGACGTGGGGATGTCGAACAACAATTAACACGAGGTCAACTATATGTATATTTAACGTTTGAGTGCATTGGATCGTTAAGGATTACCGAGGTGTTCATTGTAAGTACAACTACCTCCTCCCAACCCCCTAATATACATAATCGACACCTTTCTTTGTACGTCATACCGTGAGTGAGCCATTAAGTGAGATACAGTACAAATTACCCGTCAAATCGTTTTTAGTTGGGAGGGTTATATAAAGTGCACGTGTTTAGACATTTTAGATTATACCTGAACGAAAGCTATAACGTTTCTTTTCTTTTTTTAATGCGAAAAACAATTCAGAAATAAAATCCATGGACATTCGGAAACACGAGATAGAAATCGTCATGGATGTTATAAGACACT